GTGTAGCCCTAACTGGCCTAGACTTGTTATGTAGATCAGGTTGGCCTCCAACTCTTGAACATCTGCTTGGCTCAGTTACAGCCCTAAACATGCACTTATTAGGAGGTAGTATAATAATCACAGTTACTGCCGGGCAGTGGTGGTGCACGCCTTTAATCCCAGCACTCGGGAGGCAGAGGCAGGTGGATCTCTGTGAGTTCGAGACCAGCCTGGTCTACAAGAACTAGTTCCAGGACAGCCTCCAAAGTCACAGAGAAACCTTGTCTCGAAAAAAAACAAAAAAAAAAACAAAAAACAACAACAACAACAAAAAAATCACAGCTACTATTGATATTGATAACATGCACACTAGAGATTTTCATAATATTAATTCATACTTAATCATCAGAATCTCTATGACATAGTTACTGTTGTTAGCCATAGGAAACAGACAGAGAGATAACTTGTCTAAGGTTACAAATGTAGTAATTAGAATTAGGGCATGTGTATTAACTATACCACTATGCTATGTTACTTTTCTTACAGCAGAGTGAAGACCATCAGCTTTAAAGATGAGTAGAATAGGGGCTGAAGAGATGGCTCAGTGGTTAAGAGCATATATGGGTCTTGCAGAGGACATTGGTTCAATTCCAAGCACCCACATGGGGCTTCAAAACCACCTAAAACTCCAGTTCCATGGGATCTGATGCCTGCTTCTGACTGCTGAGGGAACCAAGCATATACATACTGCATGTAAATACATGCAGGCAAAACACATAAAATAAATGTGTACATCTAATTAAGATAAAACTCACTTTATAGCCGGGTGGTGGTGGCTTATGCTTTTAGTCCCAGCACTCGGGAGGCAGAGGCAGGCGGAACTCTGTGAATTCGAGACCAGCCTGGTCTACAAGAGCTAGTTCCAGGACAGCCTCCAAAGCCACAGAGAAACCCTGTGTCGAAAAACCAAAAAAGAATAAAAACCTCCAAGTTGAGAGGTTCTATTGCCCTTTTGTGATTTCCCTAGGCAGCAGGCACATATGTGGAACACATATGTAAACACAGGGAAAGGCCTGCCTGGGCAGGGGTGGGGAATGGGGGGGTGTTCAGGTATCAAAGAGGATGTGAGAGTCAGCAGGGGAGAGAAGGAGCAGATGGACACAGTTTGAGGGTGGTCAGGATGGCTGCCAGCAGCGTCTAATTGAAAAAAAGATTAAACAATTTATAAACTACTCTTGCATGTAGGATTAAACTGGAGACAAGTTGAGCCAGGGTGTGGCTTGAGATCAGGACTTGAGGAATCTAGTGAGAGGGCCAGGGAGCCAGATCAGAACCATGATGGATTTCTGATAGCCCCTGCCAGGGACCTGGCCTTAGTTTCAGTTTCCTTGAGGCAGCTGGAGCTGAGCAAAGTTTTTGGGGAAAACCACAAATCAGAGGCAACCAATCAACAGATGTCCCTTAGTCTTCTGCTAGCTCAGCAGATGGCCACAGCTTTCTGGTAACTAAAGATAGTTTTCCCTACCCTGCTGCTGGAACGTACCTAACCACCAGTCAGCCCCCAGACCAGTCTCTCCTCCCTGAAATTCCCCTAACCAGGTTTAAAGAGCCTTTTGGATCATTGTCATGGGCAACCCCAACATGTTGGGATATTAATAAAGTGCTCTTGCTGATTGTATATGGCTGGTGGTCTTATACTCACACACTCATACACACACACTCACACACATACACACACACACTCATACACACTCACACAGATACACACACAATCTATATATACTTTTTTTTTTTTTTTTTTTTTTAGGACAAGGTTTTTCTGTATAACAGCCCTGGCTGTCCTGGAACTCACTTTGTAAACCAGGCTGGCCTTGAACTCACAGAACCCTGCCTGTCTCTGCCTGCCAAGTGCCTCCAGCGCCTGGCACACTGGTGGTCTTTTATAGGACTTCTTGGTATCCTAACATCTAGCATTGACCTTGACAATAGGAACCAGTCATGCCGGGCATTGGTGGTGCACGCCTTTAATCCCAGCACTCGGGAGGCAGAGGTAGGCGGAGCTCTGTGAGTTCCAGGCTAGCCTGGTCTCCAGAGTGAATGCCAGGATAGGCTCCAAAGCTACACAGAGAAACCCTGTCTCGAAAAAAAAAAAAAAAAAATCATGGATTTTAATAAACACTGCTAGGCAAGTTCGCCACTGAGCTACATGCACAGATTTCAGAAGTTGTTTTGGGAAAGGGCATGAAAGGGTGATGGGTTCTTACTATGTGACCCTGGCCATCCTGGAACTCGCTCTGTAGACCAGGCTGGCCTGGGACTCACAGAGATCCACTTGCCTCTGCTTCCCAAGTGCTGGGATTAAAGGCGTGCGCCACCACCGCCCGGCATCTTTTCTTTTATTATGATCATATTTGTTGCTGTACTGTGGAAGTGGAGCCTGCATGCTATCCTTATCTGTGAAGGTCAGGAGATAAAAGCACAACAGGGAATTGGTTCTTTCTTACCATCTGGGTTATAGAGATCTAACTCAGGGGTTTGGAGACAAGCTCTCTTACCAAGCCTAAAGTTTTGTTTTTTGAGGTCTCATAGAACCCAGGCTATCCTGGAATCAAGATTTAATTTATGCTGGCTAGGCAGGTGTCCTGTGCCTTTAATCCCAGCACTCTGGATGCAGAGGCAAGGCAGAGGCAGACTGATGTCTCAGTTTACCATCAATCTCAAACCCTGGTCTACTTAGCAAGTTCTAGGACAGCTAAGACTACCTAGTGAGATCCTTTCTCAAAAAAAAAAAAAACAAAAAACAAAAACAAAAAAACAAAGACAACGATAAATATGATGATAATGAGCATTGCCTTTTAATGGCATCTTGCCTAGGCCAGAATGTTGCTGACCTATATCCCTAGTCCCAGATAAATAACTTCCTAACAACTTGCATAAGGTCATACTCCTCCTAATTTCTTTTTTCATTTTTATTTTATTTTTTTTATCACAGAGATCCACCTTCGTCTACCTCCCGAGTGTTGGGATTAAAGGCGTGCACCACCAACGCCCAGCTCTTTTTCTTTTTTCAAGACAGGGTTTCATCTGTGTGCACCACCACCAACTGGCTTCTTCTTTTTTTTAATTTACTTATTTCAATTTAGGTGCATTGGTGTTTTGCCTGTGTTGGACCCAAAAGTGAAGTCCAACTCTGGGAGACACACCCCACAGAGTCACAGGACACAGGCTCGATGCAAAAGCAAAAGGATTTTATTCCAACGCATTGGGGTCACTCCCTGGGAAGAGAATGGCCCCGAGTTTCCAAAGCAGGCAGTTTTTATGTCTTTTTGGTCATTAGGCAGGAGTATGACAACATATTGATTGGCTATAACATACATGAGTCATTTACTAATTGGTTGGGAACTGAACTTACAATTTTGCCCACGAGGGGTTTGGAATGTTATTTTGGTTTTTACACCTGCAAGGCTATGGGACGGCTAGTGGTTTTTCTGGGAACAGAGTGACTTATACTTATTTTCAAAACTTGGGTGCTCTGGAGCAGGGTAACCCATAACAATTTTTAGAAACCAGACAGTTGTTGAAGATAATAGAAACTAGTAATAATAACAATTTCCAGAGACTGGTCATCATGACCGACCATTTCATGTGTTTTTTGTCCCAGAGCTGTGTGTGTGTGTGGGGGGGGTACAGAGTGATTTCCAAATACATGCTGGTGGGTATCAGGCTAGGCTTAAGTTGGGGTCTTTCACCTGCATGTATGTCTGTGTGAGGGTGTCAGATCTTGGAGTTACAGACAGTTGTGAGCTGCCATGTGGGTTCTGGGAATTGAACCCAGGTCCCCTGGAAGGACAGTCAGTGTCCTTAACCACTGAGCCATCTCTTCACCCCCAAAATTTCTTCTTTTTAAATTACATACATCACTGCCAGGTGTGGAACCACACTCCGTTAACCCAGAACACTCGGGAAGTAGAGGCAGACAGATTTCTGTGAGTCTGAGTGTGAGCATGGCCAGGACATAGGGAAAGAAAGAATGACAGGAAGGAAGGAAGGAAGGAAAGAGAACAGAAAAAAAAAAAAAAAAGCCAGGAGGTGGTGGCACAACCCTTTAATCCCAGCACTTGGGAGGTCAAAGGACTGCCTCTGGATAGAAAAGAGGCAGATGTCACAGCAGTGTATAAAGGTAAAATGGGAAACCCTGTATTAGAATGAGTTGGTTTGTTTTGAGTGGGCATGTTAATTAGGGCAGCCACAAGGAGCTTTTGATTAATGGACTCCAATACTTTTGATAACTGGACCTTGATAGTCAGCCTCAGGAGGAGGAAGTAGCCAAATAAAGGAATAGACCATGTTGGCTAGCTTTAGGAATGTAATCTAACGGTTTTTAGCTTGGGCTGTCTAGAGTCCCTTCAGTCTACAGAGAGTTCCAGGATAGCTAAGGCTATGCAGGGAAACCCTGTCTCGACAAACAAAAACAAAACAGCAAACAGAAATAGAGAAAAAAATTGATTGCATACATTGTTTATTGTTTATCATGAATGCGTGTGTAGGTCAGAGGACGACTAGCAGAGATCTGTTTTTCTCCTGCCTCCTGCCTCCACCACGTGGGTCCTGGGAGGCGGACTGATACAGTCAAGGTTGGCTGATGCTTTCACCCGCCGAGCCAGCCCACTTCTCAGTCTCTGAAGCTCCTCGTGGGTGGGTCTCCCAGTCGGCTTCGGTTGGCGGATGTCCCCGCCCACCAGGCGGAACTGTTGTGGCCCTCCCGGCACCCGTCCACCCCGCTCCCACGTGACCCAAACAGACGGTGCACTTCCGCTTCCCCTCCGCACTCCTCCGTCAGTGTCCCCCACCCCCGCCCCCGGGTCCCCAACCCGGTGAGTTAGCGAGCGCCGGGAGGGCGGCGTCGCGGGCGGAGTGCTGACCCTTGCCGCCTGCCTTCTCGTCCCCGCAGGTCCCCGCGGAAGCGGCGGCGGGCGCCATGGCGGAGCTGACGGCTCTGGAGAGCCTCATCGAGATGGGCTTTCCCAGGGGACGCGCGTAAGGGAGCCTCCCCCCAGGGGCCCGTGGTGGGGGGCCGCGGGCCTGGCCCGGCCCGGCCCGACTGTCACCATGGCTGGGGGGCGCTGCCATCCGTGTTTCTGCCCCCAGGGAGAAGGCTCTGGCCCTCACAGGGAACCAGGGCATCGAGGCTGCGATGGACTGGTGAGCGACCGGCCCCCGTGGCGGAGGTTTGGGGGCCGCTGCGAAGGGCGGCCGCCAGGCTAACCCCCTGCCCACTTTCCCTGCCCAGGCTTATGGAGCACGAAGACGACCCCGATGTGGACGAGCCTCTAGAGACTCCCCTCGGCCATATCCTGGGACGGGAACCCACGTCCTCAGAGCAAGTTGGCCCTGAAGGTCCTGACTGGGAGACATCTTGTGATTCTAGACGTCTTGTGAGGGCCTGAGGAAACAGAATGATTTTTGTTACAAATAATAATACTGGTTGCTTGTTTGTAGGATCTGGGTCTGCTGCTGAAGAAAGCAAACCCATTTTGACTGAAGAGGAGAGGCAAGAACAGACTAAGAGGTAGGTAACCGGCAATTTGACTGTGTGTGTGTGTTTTGTTTGGTGCCCGCCTGCCTCTCTGGCCCAGGCAGAACTGATTCATTGCCGGGATTAAAGGCTTTCACCGCTAGGTCCTGTGTTGTTTTGTGAGATAGGTTCTAACTGTGTACTTCAGGCTGGCCTGGAATCCAGTATTTATCCCAGGCCAAGTTCAAAGCCACATTCTTCTGAGTGCTGGGGTTACAGGTGGGCCATCATATCTAGCCTATAGACTCACTTTCCAAAGGGTCATAGGGCCATCTTCCTTCCTCTCCAATGCAAACACAAGTCTGATCAGAGAACCCGACCCTTCCAGGTTCTGGAAAAAAAAAAAACCGAACTAACAAAAGACAGCCACCAAGAAACATAAACAGTCTGATGTAGCTTAGGCTGGTCTCAAACTCCCTGTGTGACTTCAGATTACCTTGAAATGCTGATTCTCTTGCCTCTGCCTTGCAGTGCTGGCATTATAGGTGTGCACCACTATATCTAGCTCTCGTTTGCCCCTCCCCGCCTTTTTAACTATAAGGCACTGCGTGCCAAGTATGTGCTTCACCACTGAGCCATGCTCCTGTCTCCAACCCCCCCTTCTTTTTCTGCCTCTTCTGTAGTAGTGTGGGTTCTCAGTCATCCCCACCAGCAACAGATCCAGGTCCTGTTCCTTCTTCTCCCAGCCAGGAGCCCCCTACCAAGCGGGAGTATGACCAGTGTCGCATACAGGTATGTTTTCTGGGCACTGTCTTGCTCCTAGAACTGGGTGTTGGCCTGTAAGGTGCCCAGCCCAACTTAAGTTCCATTTGCCAAATCTCTTCCTTCTTTGTACATGACTTTTGAAATCCTATCTCCTCTACTCTTAGGAGTGATTGAATTTCACCTGCTTGTCTTATTTAAATACATACGTCATTCTTACTCAGCAGTTACCCTTTAATTTATTCACAATGTTTTCATTAGACTCATTACACAGCTGTTTTCATAATACAGCACCTATTCTGTTTTTTAAAAATAGTTCCATCTTATCTTTTCTTGATTGTGAGGTAGCTTGGAGTCCTTTTCATCACCTATTGAAGCAGAGATACCCTGCTTCTGCCTGAGTGCTGGAATTAGTGGCATATGCCACCATTCCAGACTTTCTTTTACTTTTGGGACTGAGTCTTGCTGTACAGCCCTACTGTCCTGGAGTTCACTATGAAGATGAAACTGACCTCAAACTTCTGGAGGTCCTCCTTCCTATTTCTTCTGTATGCTGTGATTATAAGTATTGCCATTACCTGGCCTCACCCTATTTTTTTACCCCCCCACCCCCAACTCACTTTGTAGACCAGGATGGCCTCAAACTTAGATCATCGTGCCTTTGCCTCCCAAGTGCTAGGATTAAAGTCTTGTACCACCACACCCCGCCCTTTTTTTTTTTTTTTTTGAGACAGGATGCTCTACCTGATGCCGGCCTTGAACTTCTTTCTGCTTCCAGCCCTGGAACTTTATGTAAACCAGGATGCTCTTGAAGTTTCAGAGATCTGTCTGCACCCTTATGTACTGTAGGCATGAGCCACCCCATACCTAGTCTTCACTCAGTTTCAGTGCTCATAGTGCTTTTTGCCTTCTAGGTTAGGCTGCCTGATGGCACTTCCCTGACCCAAACGTTCCGGGCCCGGGAACAGTTGGCAGCTGTGAGGCTCTATGTGGAGCTTCACCGTGGGGAGGAACCTGGACAAGACCAGGACCCTGTGCAGTTGCTCAGTGGCTTCCCCAGAAGGGCTTTCTCAGAGGCTGACATGGAGCGGCCTCTGCAGGAACTGGGTATGTTATATGAGACCAGGAGGCAGGACTTAAGGAAAGGAATGAGGGGTAGTAGGGATAGGTAAAGAGAAGGGGCTTAGTGGACATGGTATGTGTCCAGGAATTTGAAGCCTAAATGTAAGTGTCCTTGTAACTCAAACTCTTTCTTCCATCTTTAGGACTCGTGCCTTCTGCTGTCCTCATTGTGGCCAAGAAGTGTCCTAGTTGAGGGTCCTCCATCCCACCATCCCTCTTTGACCTCTTCATCTTTGATAAAGCACTGACATTTCCTTCCTAATAAATAGACCTTTTGAGTTCTGTATATACCTGTCTCCTTCCTGGATGATTGGATAGGGCAATATGAGAAGGTAAGGGAGGGTATTTGAAGTAGGACCTCTTTCTCATCCTCAGTTTGCAGTACATTTTTCTAGAACTGATGACTACTTGGGGTGTGTATGTGTGCATTACAGGGCACCTTTTGTTCATAAGCATAAAGTGAGTGGTACATGAGGATTTTTTGTTTTGAGACAGACAATGTAGCCCTGGCTATCCCAGAGCTATATAGAACAGGCTGGGCCTCTTGTCTCTTTTTGTTTCCCAAGTGTTGGAATTAAAGGTGTGTGCCTTGATGCTGGGCTGGGGTTTAAATCCTTACTGAGGGCTGAAGAGATGGCTCAGCAGTTAAGGGCACTGGGTTCAACCCAGAGGACCTGGGTTCAACCCAGCACCCACGTGGTGGCTCACAACATTCTATAACACCAGTTCTAGGGTTTCTGACATCCTCATACATACATGTATGCAATAAAACACCAATGAACATATAACTTAAATCTTATCACTTAGGCAAGCATGGGATGACATAACAAGACCAATCTTAACACGTAGGCAAGCATGGGATGACATAACAAGACCAATCTTAACACGTAGGCAAGCATGGGATGACATAACAAGACCAATCTTAACACGTAGGCAAGCATGGGATGACATAACAAGACCAATCTTAACACGTAGGCAAGCATGGGATGACATAACAAGACCAAACAGTAAAGAGTAAGTGATAGCCATGCCATGGTGCTTTTCTGACATTAAAATGTGTTGAATGTATGGCGTTTGAGAGGGCTGAATGGGTAAAAACACTTGCTGCGCTTGCAGAGGACCAGAGTTTGGTTCCCAGAACTCACCTCAGGCAGCTCACAGTCCCAGGGCGTCTGATGCTTTCTTCTGGCCTCTGGGTACCAGGTATGCCCGTGGTGCACATATATACATACAAGCACTCACACAGACACATAAAATTGTTTTGAGGGGCTAGAGAGATTGGCTCAGTGGTTAAATGCACTGATTGTTCTTGGAGAGGACCCGAGTTGTATTCTACCCTCTACCCACAATGATGGCTCTTAACCATTTGTAACTCTAGTTCCAAGGCAGCCAACACCTGACTTCCATGGGCACATGGTATACATACATTCATGCAGGCAAAACATTCAAACACATAAATGGGTTTTGAGACAGCGTTTCTCTGTGTTAACAGTCCTGGCTATCCTGAAACTCTCTTTGTAGACCAGGCTGGCCTTGAACTCACTGAGATCTGCCTGCCTGTCTCCTGAGTGCAGGGATTAAACCACCACTGCCCAGCAAAATAAATACATCTTTAAAAAAAAAAAAAAAAAGGTGGCTGAGGCTAGAGAGACAGCTCAGCGGTTTAAGAGCACTGACTGTTCTTCCAGAGGTCCTGAGTTCAATTCCCAGCAACTATGTGGTGGCTCAAAACCACCTTGAATGAGAAATGATGCCCTCTGCTGGCATGTAGGCAGAAGACTATACAAAATAGATAAAATCTTAAAAAAAAAAAAAGGTGGGCTGGAGAAATGGCTCAGAGGTTAAGGGCATTGGCTACTCTTCCAGAGGCCCTGAGTTCAAGTCCCAGCAACCACATGGTGGCTCACAACCATCTGCAATGAGACCTGGTGCCCTCTTCTGGCCTGTAGGCAATGCATTGTATACATAATACATAAATATTTAAAAAAAAAAAAAAGGCTATTGAAAGCCAGGCAGTTGTGGCACATGCCTTAAATCCCAGCACTCAGGAGACTGAGGCAGGTGGATCTCCAAGTTGTGGCCAGCCTGGTCTACAGAGTGAGTTCCAAGACAGCTAGGCAACACAAACCCCGTCTCAAAACAAATGAAGTGCTTTGTTTTGTTTTGGTTTTTATTTTGGTTTTTCGAGACAGTGTTTCTCTGTGTAGCTTTGGAGTCTATCCTGGCACTCACTCTGGAGACCCAGCTGGCCTCGAACTCACAGAGATCCGCCTGCCTCTGCCTTCCGAGTGCTGGGATTAAAAGTATGCGCCACCAACGTCCAGCTTTTTTGGTTTTTTGTTTTGTTTTGTTTTTTGGTTTTCAAATGAAGTGTTTTGAGTGCCACATACAGATATAGACCACAGTTTTCCATAGTTTTGGGGATTGAGCCCAGGGCTTTATGCATGCTGGGAAAGCACTTAGATCGAGCCAGCAAATTGCAGGTCCATTGTCCAAACAGACATTGGTAGCAAATATGTAAACCTATATACCCACTTGGGAAGCCTAGCTCAAGGTAGTTTTGTTGAGAAAGGGCCTCTCCATTCTAGCCCTAGCTGTCCTAGAACTCAAATCTACCTCCTCTAGAGAGCTAGGATTAAAGGTGTGTCCATGCCCTGCTTGGCTCAAGACTTCCTGAGCTTCTTACCTTTTTGCCCTAGTGTCTTGTCAAATCCCTGCTGACTTGTTCCTGGACACAGAGAAGAGGCCACAATTCATCCATAAGAATACTCATCATTTGTGGTATATTGGTATACAACTTTAATCCTAGCATACAGGGGGCAGAGGCAGGCAGATCTCTGAGTTCCAAGACAGCCAAAGTTACACAGAGACCCTGCCTTAAACACATCCACAGAGTAAGTATGAGCTGACCACATTCAGCAGATGGAACAAACATCAGTACTCACCTCTGGGTTTACACTACATAAACTACTACAATAACAAGTTTTTTGAGACAAACTTATATATCCCAAACTGGCTTTTGACCTGCTTTGCAGCTAAAAACCATGCTGAACTTCTGATTTCATTTATCTATTTATTGGTTCTTCAAGACAGGGTCTCAATATGTAACCCTGGTTGTCCTGGAGCTTCCTATGTAGACCAAGCCCCTGCCTCCCAAATGCTAGGATTTGTACCACCGTACTGGGCCCTACTTGTGGTCTTCTGCTACTTTCCCAGGGTTGAGATTACCAGCATTTGTATGTTCTGGGGCATCAGACCTACAATTTTCTTCATGTTAGTTGAGCATTCAATCAAGTGAGTTCTATCTCTAGCCCCCCAAAATTTTGTCAGTTGCAATTGTCTACAAACAAAACAAAAACAAAATGAGGCTGGGAGTAGCGGCATAGCCTGTAATCCTAGTATTTGAGAGGCTGAGATGGATGGGATGACGAGGTATCTCAAATTTAAAGCCAACCTGGGTTACAAAGACAAACACAAAAAATGAGTGCTATAAAATACACAAACACACCTATACTTTGTGTGGCACAAATCCTAGGCTTTGGGAGGCAGGGGCTTGGTCTACGTAGGAAGTTCCAGGACAACCAGGGTTACACATTGAGACCCTGTCTTGAAGTATATGTATGTATATGGGCTAGAGTGGAGCTCAGTGATAGGTAATGTTTATTATCATGCCCAAGGTGCTGGGGCTTAATCTTTAGTGCCAAACCAAAAAGGAATTTGTGGCCCAGTTAATCAGTTCCAGCCTCATGGCTTTTTTGTTTGCTTAGGTTTTGTGTGCCACCAGACCTGCTTCCATGATTCATGCTCTCAGTGACAAGAAATACTATAACTGGACTCAGAGGCTGAACATATAATATTATAGTGAAAACCTTGGGGGTAAAGACCCATTATATTTATGTAAGGGTATGCCTGTGGAGGCACAAACCGTAGAGGTCATAAGAAACCAGGAGTTAGTTCTTTCCACTCACCGTGTGACAAACCCTGTCTTTAACCAAAGTTAAATAGTAACTAGAGGAGGCATGGGGCAGTCAAGGGACTCTTCAATTTTTCTCAAAGGACAAGAGTTTCCTATTCACTGCAAAGCAGATGCTCTGATCTGAAGAATATGGCTTGGAGCTGAGCATGGAGTCTCACTCCTGTAATCACAACACTTGGGAGTGGAATACATATCGGATTCCAGACTAGCCTGAGATATGTGAGAATGTCTCAAAAAAAAAAAAAAAGAAAGAAAAAAAAAGAAAAGAAAAAAAAAGAACCAGAAAAGAAAAAGGAGTGAAAGCACTTGGCCAACAAGTAGGACACCATGTGTAAGTAGAGAACTGGCTTCCACGTTCATTTTTCATTCTTCACTCACACAACATAGACACACAAAAACAGACTTTAGGAAGTCTTTACCGCCAGTTGCAGAAACAAACTTAGATCATGTGACCTGTTCAGAATCGTCAGAAAACCTATTGGACTTAGGACTCTCCAAGGGGAGTGGCAGTCGGCTACCCCTGTCTTCCGCGCCCACCGTGCCGCCACTCACAACCCTCTAGGCCTTAGATATCCGGCTGCGAGTCTACTTAACGTAAGGACTGGATTTATTAGTTCCTTTGGTTCCACACATGCGACCGTCTCGGCCCCGTCACGCGATGTGCACGTTAAACGCGTTCACCGACCGCAGCGCAGCTCCCTGCGCCTTGGTGGAGCCGTGTGTTATCCTGAATCCGGCGGCCACCGGCGAGCCCTGCTGTCACGCTGACCTGCCGCCTCCGTTAACTGCTGACAGCCAGTTCTTCCTCCAGGTCACGTTCTCCTCCGTGGCCGCCGCTTTCTTCAGGGTAGCCATCACGAGCTCGTTGATCCTAACAGCTTCGTCCCTGCGCCGCGGGTCCCGTTCCGGCATCTCCTAAGGGCAAGAAGGAGGTTTGCAGCCCGGGCCGGAAGACGCGGCCTCTCCCCCACGCACGCTCACCCCGGGAACCCCGGCGTTTCTACCTGCAGCATTGCCTGCTTCTGTGCTTCTCCCGGGACCACAAGAGCAAACAGAATGGAGCCCACGCCAGCGCCCGCGCCCAGCACTGCGACCGCGGCCACCGCTTTACGAACTGTAGCCATGGCCGACTACCAATGAGGCGCCCTCCGCGTCCTCCCACAGCCTAGAAGGGAGCCACGATGACGTCTCATCGCTCCCTATGCGGGCTAGAGCGACCTGGGGGGGCGGGGCCGAAAACCATAGAGTAACTGCGGGGCTAGAGAAGTACTGGTTCCTAGGTGTCGCACGCCTTTAATCCTAGCACCACGGGGGCAGAGACAGACCAGATCTCTGAGTTTGAGACCAATCTGGTCTATAGAGTGAGTTCCAGGACAGCCGGGGGTACACAGAGAAACCTTGTTTCGACAGAAAACAAAAACAAAATCAGCCTGTTTCACTATGCACCCCTAGCCGACTTGGAACTCCCTGTGTAGATAGATACTCGTTATGTAGACCTCTGGCTTCGAACTCACAGGGAAGCCGCCTGCCGCTACCGCCTCACCCAACAGTAGATGCTGGAGCTTATAACTGAGGAAAGGACGTTGAACATGTTAAGAAATGCTGGAGCTGGATGGAGCGATGACTCTGTGGACCTGGGTTCAATACCCCGCCCCTCAAAGAGGCTCACAACGCCAGTTCCACGGCATCTGACACCCTCTACTGGCCTCCGTGGGCACCAGACAGGCACTGTGGTGCCCAGACACATGCAGGCAAAACATCCATACACATAAAATAGTGAAGAAAAAAAAGTTAGAGCTAAAGTCAATTGAGCGCATTGCATGATAGCTGTGGATTTTTCAGTTGCCAGTTTTCGCTGGGTGGTGGTGGCACACACCTTTATTTCCAGGGCAGATCTCTGAGTGCGAGGCCAGCCTGGTTTACAAAATTAGGTCCAGGACAGCCAGGCCTCCCCAAAGAAACCGTGTCTCGAAAAAACAAAATAGATGATTGATAGATAGATAGATGATAGAGTAAAAAATTAAAAATAAAAAAACATTGCCAGTTTTCAACCCTTGGAAGTTTCAGATCAATAGAGGACCGTTTTTAGTATTTTAAGTATACAATGTAATGACTGACACCTGAAATCTCAGTGCTTAAGGAAGGTGAATCCAAGCCAGGCGGTGTGGTGCACGGCTTTAATCCCAGCACTCGGGAGGCAGAGGCAGGAGGATCTCTGAGTTCGAGGCCAGCCTGGTCTCCAGAGCGAGTGCCAGGATAGGCTCCAAAGCTACAAACAAAAAACCCCGGTCTAAAAAAAAAAAAAAAAAAAAAAAAAAAAAAATCAAAGCCAAGTGGACAAAACAAAGAATGGATTTTTATTTCTCTTACGTTTTGAGAATTGAAATCAGAGTGTCAGGCAAGCTTGGTACAACCATATATATGCTAACTTATTAGTCCATTCTTTCCTTTTTTTTTTTTTTTTTTTTTTTTTTTTAAAAAAGGGCTTTTCAAGAAAGGGCTTCTAGGACTGATGAGATGGTCAAGAACACCGATTGCTCTTCTAGAGGACCCTGGTTCAATTCCCAGTACCCATATGGCAGCTCCCAACTACAGTTCCAGGGGATCCAACACCCTCATGCAGACATGAATCTGGACAAAACACCAATCAATGCACATAAAATTAAAAAAGGGGGGGGCTTCTAGGATTTAATTTTCTAGTCCTGATTGTCCTGGAACTTGTTGTGTAGATCAGACTAGCCTTGAGGTCTCAAGAGTTTTGCCTGCCTGTGCTTCTTAAATGCTAGAATTAAAGGCATGTGCTATCATTTCATACCTGGCTTGTTTTTGAGACAAGAGTTTCTCTGTGATGTTCTGGCTGTCCTGGGACTTACTCTGTAGACTAGGCTGGCCTTGAACTGAGATCCACCTGCCTCTGCCTCCTAAGTGCTGGGGTTAAAGGAATGTACCACCACTGCTCAGGGTTCTTAGCAAGTTAGGAGAGATGGCTCAGTAGTTGAGAGCACTGAGTGTTTTGACTTGATCCCCAGCACCCACATGGTGCCGCACAACCTTCTATAACTCCCGTCCCAAGAGATCCAATGCTCTCTTCTGGCCTCCATAGCTGAAGATATTCCTGCAGGCATATCAGCCATACCTAATAAAATACATTTAAGGTAAATAAAAAGGGTTCCTGTCAAATAGCAAAGGCCACATAAACATTCATTAAATAATATACAAATAAGCCCCCTTGAGAAAAACAGTAAGTCCACTATCACGGCTCTTTATTTTTAGGGCTTTAATCCAGATGCCCTTGTCTCCTACCTTGACTGCCATCCCCAGTGTCTCAGGGAGTAAACAGAATAAAGCTCCTGTCTCTCCTCTTTGGCTTCTCCCCTCCCTTGGAAGGCCCATAATCTCCAAGCAAGTCAGCGTTCTTTCCCCAGCAGTGATTAAGGGGCCCTCTCCAAAGAAGATTAAAGCCTAGACCGTGTGCGACACTGTGCAGGGGTGCTTAACCTGGAATTCAACCACTCTGCACTCTTAGAGTCACTATCATGGCTCTTGTGCCAGGGAATAGCAAGGATGGACCTTGGTCTGGAGATAGCCCAGACTCTTCATGGCATCCAGAAAGTCCTCGTTTGATGAATTCTCTCTTAAAGAGCAGAGACGAGACTGGCAGATATGAAGGTCGTCAGGACCCTCAGGTGAGTACTGGTCCTGGGACTGGCACATTCTCAAATTGGGCCCAACATCCCTGCTGTACTTATATTTATGCAGGTGTCTCAAAAGCCCCGAGTGCCCTCTATTGTGGTAGAGGCCTCAGAGGGGAATGAGGAAGAACAGGAGGATAACCAGTGGCCACATGAGGAGTTGTTGCTACTCACTGATGGTGAAGAAGAGGAAGCAGAAGCCTTCTTCCAGGATGAAAATGAAGAGCCAGGTGAGGGTGGTGGCTTTTTCATTCAGGCCATTGCCATCTAGACATTCTAGACCCACAGTAGGTGTCCAGGAATGTTAGAAATAGGAGGTGTGGGGCTGGAGAGATGGCTCAGAGGTTAAGAGCACTGGCTGCTCTTTCAGAGGTCCTGAGTTCAATTCCCAGCAACCACATGGTGGCTCACAACCATCCCTTATGAGATCTGGTGCCCTCTTCTGGTGTGCAAATATACATGGAAGGAAAATGTTTTATAAAAAAAAAAAAAAATCTTTAAAAAAAAAAAAACAAACTCAGCCGCACACCTTTAATCCCAGCACTGGGGAGGCAGAGGCAGGTGGACCTCAGTGAGTTGAAGACCAGCCTGGTCTATAAGAGCTAGTTCCAGCCCAGCCTCCAAAACCACAGGGAAACCCTGTCTCGAAAAACCAAAACCAAAACCAAAACCAAAAACAAAAAAACAAAAAAAGAAATAGGAGGTGTATGATGCAGTTTAGGACTAAAGTGCATAATAGCATGCACAGGACCCTGGGTTACATCCCCACTACCACACACACACACTAGTAAATAGGTGAGAGTCTAGGCACCATTTTTGTTTTTGTTTGCTTGTTCCTTTATTTTGCCACTAAAGAGTGAACCTAGAGAGATACTCTACTGCTGAGCTGTATCCCCAGTTCTTTTTATTTTTAATTAAGTTATTTGAGACAGTCTCACTCTGCAACTCAAACCGACCTGGAGCTCACTGCTCAGGTGGGCCTTGAACTCATGGTAATCCTTATGCCTTCTGAGTACCTTTGATTATTAGAAAGCCTGAGCTCTGGCTCTCCACTCTGCCTGGTTTGGAGGGCCCTCCTGATCTTTTCCCCAGAAACCACATGATGGCTCACAAGCATCTGCAATGAGAGCTGGTGCTTCTGGTCTACAGGATACAAGCTGACAGAACAGTACTTACAATAAATCTTAAATAGAAAAAACACAAAAAAAGAAAGAAATTAGGAATAGCTGGGTGTAGTGACTCCTACCTTTAATCTAGGCACTTGGAGGCAGAGGTAGGCAGATCTCTGTGAGTTTACATGCCAGCCTATGTAATGAGAATGTATCTCCAATAATAATAAATTTTTATTTACTTGTATACACCTGAACCACAGTGTGGTTATGTAGGTCAGAAGACAACTTGTGGGAGCTGGTTCTCTCATTCCACCTTGTGGGTTCTAGAGAATAAACTCAAGTTTCCAGGCTTGGCAGCCAGTTTTCTTATAGGTGGAGCTCCACCCTTTCTACTATTTGCTTGATTTTTGCTGTCTTTATTTATACTGTTGAGAACAGTATAGCATCTTCTAAAAAGTGTGTGTATAGCTGGGCAGGGGATTCCACCACTGGAAAGGCAAAGGCAGGTAGGTAGATCTGAGGCCAGCCTCTTCCACGCAGAGTTCCAGAACACCCTGTCTCACCAGGCGGTGATGGTGCAAGCCTTTAATCCCAGCATTCAGGAGGCAGAGGCAGGCAAATCTCAGTGATTTTGAGGCTAGTCTGGTCTATAGAGACAATTCCAGGACAGCCAGTCTTCCCTGAGAAACTCAGTCTCAAAAAAACAAAACAAAACAACAACAAAGTGTGGTGAAGGTGTCTTTCAGAGGTAGGGCATGCATGTGTTCCCTGCACACCTGTGGAGGACAGAAGACAGCCATGTGGGCTTTAAGAGATTAAACACTGTCACACTTGGCCTGCTTGGCCTTTTGCTGGCTAAGCCATCTCATCAGATCCCAAAACCAAGACCTTTTGCATGTGAGATAATTGAGCTCCACCCACAGCCATAATTTGTACTTTGTTTTGTTCTTTTGCTTTCTGGAGACAAGATTCATTATCTTAATTTGTTTGGCCTGGATCTTGCTATGCTGTCTAGTGGTAATCTGGACTTTAAATATTTTAAGATACTTATATGGTTCATTATTGGGGAGGGGAGATGATACAATTACCCCATATCAAACTCTCTAGAGGTAATGAACATTTTAGATGGATGGCTGTATACTGCTTTAACATTTCAGGGTTTTGTTTTGTTTTGTTTTTGAGCATTATGTACCAGTCACTGAGCTAAGTATTTTTACCTTATGATTTTTCAGAACAACACAATAGGGAGATAACTTCCCTTCGTAAATGAGGAAACTGGGCTGAAGAATTGGCTCAGTGGGTGGAGAATGTTTGCTCTGCAATCATGAGAACTTGAATTCAGACCTCCACTATTCATACACATACCAGCTGGGCATAGCAGTCCACCTGCAGTCACAGTGCACTGTGAGGCTGAGATCTCTGGAGCAAGCTACCTAGCTAGACTAGCTAGCTGAACAGACAAGCTCTGGGCTCAGATATACCCTGACAATAAGGTGAAGAGCAATTGAGGAAGGTACCTGATGTCTATCTCTGGCCTTCACACCTGCATTCACTCTTGAATACCAATATAGAGGAGCAGCCAGGTGTTGGTGACACATGCCTTTAATCCCAGAACTCGGGAGGCAGAGGCAGGCGGATCTCTTGAGTTTGAGACTAGCCTGGTCTACAAGAGCTAGTTCCAGGACAGCCTCCAAAGTCACAGAGAAACCCTGTCTCAAAAAACCAAATACAGAGGGGCCTGGATTTCATAAAATCTGACTACCTCCACGGCCCAAGTACTGGGATTAAAGGACACACTCTGGTCTCATACACAGAATGGAGAATTGGCTGGCAGTTCTAAAAGAACTAAATCTAGTCCTAGGGGATTGGCTTTCCTCTTCTGACCTCATGCACTGGGCATGCATATGCTGAATATTCATACACACAAAAACAACAATCTTTAAAGCATTTATCCCAGCCGAGCATGGTAGCCATCGAGACCTACATCTAGAGGCCTTGCCTCAAAATAAATAAGACTCAGTATTTGGAAAATTATCATAGGCTAACTCTTCTCCCAGGTTGGGCTTGGATCCCACAGGACCCCACATCTCCTTTAAGAACATTTCACTCTGGACTTGGCTGGGGGAATGAACAAGAAGACGATGCCTCCTGGATTCCTGACACAGAGGGTCAAGAAACTCCCAATCCCTGTTCTTTTTGGGACCCAACAGGGCCCTGCATCTACAGAACCCGATTTGTGGGATATTCCCATTTCCCACCTCCCAGTACCTTTGGGGGTAAGTATTCTTTTTTCCTCCATTTTTTTTTTGTTGTTGTTGTTGTTGTAATTTTCAAAGCCTTTGTGCCCACCATAGGCCACAGGACACAATACTGCAGTTGGATAATGTGTCAGTATCAGGTAGAGGTAGGCAGATCTTGGGAGTTGATGCTAACCTGGACAGCAAAGAGAGTTATAGAGAAAAGAGAGTGATGGTAGGAGGCAGGATGTTTGGTCACAGCTTCCCTGCATAAAGCTGTTCATTTTAGCCCCAACACAGCAAACAAGTCCAACGTTAGGGGAGGCTTGAGACCTCATTGCTCATATCCAATACCCGCAGTGTACCGTCTGCCTCCCAGTTGTCTCTGAATTTCCCCGCAAAGAAACAGAAGGTGCGGTCACTGCCTACTCGTTGCTGGGAGTGAAGTCTACTTCAGAGTGTTAGCCCAGTTTGGCTCTAGGATTACGATGTGCCTTTTACTATAGTCCCAAGTCTTCAGGATCTCACCTCCTATATCGATAAAGGCACGTCCCCCACCATGCGTCGACATCCTGTAAGGCCACCCAAGGTCCCCACAAGATGACCGGACAATCTTTAGGGAAATGTCGCGCGGACCCCGAACATGTGCTGTATGTTCCGTGTCGCGGAAAAGGAAGCGCAAAAAAAAACCGCACAAATGCAGAGCTCTCAAGGTTCAGTGGACTTTATTGATTCAACAACAAATGGTTAAGGAAAACCCGTTACCCATCACTCCCGAGGCGTCATCCGCAGACCTGGAACGAAGATAAAAACGTTTGAGTGTCGCATAGAGGGGACTGCCGGATCCGACTACAATTCCGCGTGGAGAGCGGTGTCCCGGCGTTTGAGGATAGAACCGGCGAACGGGAGGCCGCAGGCACCGAAGACATGACGCCGAGAGGGCCGGAGCCCTTTCCTTCTGCCTCCGTACATTACGGGGAACGGGACCGCACGCCCGGTCCCCGCCAAGAAAAGGAGGGTCTACAAGGTCAGGCCCACACCCCCAGCCACTGCAAAAGACCCAAGGACACCCAGGAGAAAGCGGACTTACGCGAGAGCCACATTTGGAAAGACCGCGAGGAGCGCAGAACTCGTTTATGTAGGCCTGGAGCCCGCCCCCGAGCTGCGATTGGTCCGCGTATGCCAGGGGGCGGAGCCTTTTGCGCATGGCGGAACCTACGAGCCGAGCGGAAGTGCGGCTCCGTGTGTGAGCCTCCCGGTGCAGCTATGGGCCCGCCGAGCGGAAAGATCAATCGTCCCCGGACGGTGACTGTGGGAACTGTACCTTTGCTTCTCAGAGCGTTGTCCTCTCCATAGACAGCATCAGTGGTGTCTGGGGTAGCCGAGTGCAGGGATCCCGGGTAGGCGAGCAGAACCTTACTGTGATGCGCGTCTTTTTCTCCCTCAGGAGCTGAAGAAGAAGTTGTTCAAGCGCCGCAGAGTGCTGAGCAGGGATCGGCGACGGAAGCGCCAGGTGGTCGGCGCCGTGATAGACGAAGGGCTGACTACGAGGCACCACCTCAAGAAGCGGGCGTGAGTACGGTACTAGCTTCCTCCGAGTGGTCTTACCTATCTCCTTCCTACCAAGCTTCAGAGCAGCCCAATGTTTTCCTATTTTCTTGTTCTCTCTTCTCCCACGTTTAAGCAGTTCCCAAACCACCAGCCTCCCAATACCGTTGCTCACAGGGTTTTTTAAGTTTGGACTCTACTAAGGAACTAAGCAAGGTTGTCTATTCTTCTGCCCTTCAAAGGTTATATTAACTGAGATTTTTGAAATGAAAGTGCACACATAAATGCAAACTATTAGTCTGAGTTTCTCCAAGGTACACCTAGAATTTTGGATACAAATTCAAGTTCTGTGATAACTTCTGTGGCTTAGGTTGGTTCAGATTAACCTGGGTATCTTGATTCCTATCTGTCCCTTAGGTCCAGTGCACGGGCCAACATCACGCTATCCGGGAAGAAGCGCAGGAAACTCCTGCAGCAAATCCGCCTTGCCCAGAAAGAAAAAGCATCCATGGAAGGTTTGTCTGGGTTACAGAGGTTCCACAAAAGGGAGTCTGGATTTGACCTGGGTTCTTATAATGCTCCCTCTTTTCTTTGTTCAGTGGAAGCCCCCTCCAAGACAACCAGGACTAGTGAGCCACAGCCCAAACGACAAAAGAAGATAAAAGCTCCCCAGGATGTAGATATGGAGGATCTTGGAGATGAGAGCTAAAGTCCCTCCCTCATCTATTAGAAGATTCTCAACTGCAGCCAGAAAGATTTGAAGGACTTTGGAGAAAATACTACTGTATTTCACTGTCCCCTGGAGTTATATATTGGGAGGGAAGAGGGCACAGGAAAGGACTGCAGAGGGCTCTCTCTAGCAGTCACCTCTTTTTGTAATAAAGCCCTAGAACTTTGACTAATGTGTCATTAAGTGCAAGAATGGGAATTGGCCATATAAAACGGCCTTTGAGAGATATTCCAGAAGCAGGATACACAGTGTGCTTGAGCAAAGCAATAAGAAACTAGGTGGTGCACGGCATGGTGGCCCATGCCTTTAATTCCAGCATTTTGGAGGCAGAGACAGGCAGATCTCTGTTCTAGACCATCTTGGTTTAATATGAATTCCAGGGCTGCACCCTATCTCTGAAAGAAACTGGGTGTCTTCAGTGGTCCCCATCTTTCTGGATAACACAGTAAGGATCCTGATAGTAACTCTGACTCTGTACCTGTGTGGCCTGGGATTATAGTAAGGAAGAATTTTTTGTGTTTATTTATTTATTGCTGGTGATGGTAGTGGTTCTGGGAATCAAACCCAGGGCCTCATTCATGCTAGATAACCATTGTGCTATCTATATCCTGAGTGCCTGTATTTCTCAGCACTCATACTAAAGGAAGTCAGTTCTGAGGACTTGTGTTTTTGAAGACAGGGTCTTTCCTTATATGGCCCAGGCTTGTTTTCTTGTTTTGAACATGTGATCCTTGTGCTTCTGCCTCCACAGTGCTGGGACTGTGAGTATGAAACATGCCTGGCCCCAGTTCCTAACTTAACTTTTACCTTTGCAAGCGTCTAAATAGATAGAGGGAAGCTGATGTTAAGAGTGCTTGACACTAAGCCCAACAACCCGAGTCCCATCCCTGTTACCCTAACACTGGCTTCCATGTTTGCATTGTGGCAAGTCTCCCTAAACACACAGTAAATGTAACAACAAAGCAAAACCAAAAATATTTACAAAATATTAGACATGGGCTTGAAGCATTCATCTAATTTTCCATTCTTCTCCTCAACGAAATATCAGTAACAGACTTTATGTGTTTGAGTCTTTTGCTTGCATGAATGTGTGTATACCATGTACACTGCATGCCTGGTATCTGCAAATCCAGAGAGGCTGTTGGATCCTTTGGAACTGGAGTTGTGAGCTGCCATGTAAGTGCTAGGAACTGACCTTGGGTTTCTTTTATTTTTTTAATTATGTATACAGTATTCTGTCTGCATGTATGCCTACATGCCAGAAGAGGGCACCAGATCTCATTGCAGATGGTTTTGAGCCACCATGTGGTTGCTGGGAATTGAACTCTGGTCCTCTGGAAGAGCAGCCTGTGCTGTTAACTACTGAGCCATCACTCCAGCCCTTTTTTTTTGTTTGTTTGTTTGTTTTTGGAGACAGGGTTTCTCTGTATTGTTTTGGAACCTGTCTTGGAACTCGTTCCATAGACCAGGCTGGCCTCAAACTCACAGAGATCCACTTGTCTCTGACTCCCAAGTGCTGGGATTAAAGTGCTCGGGAGGCAGAGGCAGGTGGATCTCTGTGAGTTCGAGGCCAGCCTGGTGTCCAGAGTGAGTGCCAGGATAGGCTCCAAAGCTACACAGAGAAACCCTGTCTCCAAAAACCAAAATAATAATAATGGCTCCATGTAAGTCCAAAGTCCAGCTTGGTGAATCAATGTATTTGTTTTTTTGTCCTGACTAATGTGTGTCCCTCTTCACCCCACCAGACAGGGTTCTTTTTAGCCCTGTGTTGTCTTGGAACTGTCTCTGTAAATCAAGCTGGCCTTGAAGTCATAGAGATCTGCCTTCCGAATGCTGGGATTAAAGGCGTGTGCCACCACCTCCATGCTTTATTGTTTTTGTGTAACAGGAGTGTGACTCTTGGGCAGTTGGATCACTAAAGAGTTGCACCCTGGCACTAGTGGCAATTCAAGAAAGCTGCATTATTTCCGTTAGCTCTAGTCAACTTTCACCTGTATATCCTAGCACTTCTCAAGACTGTAGCTGGGACTGCTAGGGTTGGGGGTGTAGTGGGAATGGTGGCTAGACTCTTAGGTGAGAAATTGATGACCAGCACACATCTGCAGGGAATATTGGTAGCGTCTCCTGTGGATAGCTGTTCTGATTCATGATGGCAATTATATCAGTTCCACCTCAACGTACCTATTTGGCAGGTGAGGAAACAAGATCTAGGAAAACTTTTGTTTTTTGAGACAGGGTTTCTCGGTAGCTTTGGAGCCTGTCCTGATACTGTCTCTGTAGACCAGCCTGGCCTCAAACTCACAGAGATCTGAAGGCCTCTGCTTCCTGAGTTCTGGGATTAAAAGTGTGAACCACCACTGCTTAGCTAGAAAAACTTAAAAAAAATTTTTTGAGCCGGGCGGTGGTGGTGCACGCCTTTAATCCCAGCACTCGGGAGGCAGAGGCAGGTGGATCTCTGTGAGTTTGAGGCCAGCCTGGTCTACAAGAGCTAGTTCCAGGACAGCCTCCAAAGCCACAGAGAAACACTGTCTCGAAAAAAAAAATTGTTTTTGATATGTACAGATGTTTTGACTACATGTTTATATGTGCACTACTTTTGTGCCTGATGCTTCATAGGCCAGAAGAGGACAACCTGTAAGGGTGGGCAGCCCCCTTGAGTTGTATAGGACATAACCAGACTACAAATTCTCAGCAAAAATGAGATTTATTACCCTATAGGGGCAAGCAGTGGAGAGGCTGCCTCTGGATTGGGCAAGTGCAGACCGCAAGCAGCAGGTATTTTTTGCTGAGGTGGGTTTTTAAGGAGAAAATGGGTCTGTGCTAGGGTGAAATTAGTGGTTTCTGATTGGACATGTTAGCCAAATAATGAATTTTGACGCGTGTTTTGTCTCAGAGATGAGTCAGTGGCCAAATAAAGGAATGGACCTTGGGGGGTATCTTTAGGAGTATAATCTAATCCCCTGGAATTGTAGTTGGAAATGTTTGTGAGCCACCATGTGGATGTATGTATTGAAACTGGGTCCTCTGGAAGAGCTGTCACTGAGCCATCTCTCTAGCCCTTTCAAATTGACTCTTGTTATTCAGAGGGGTTTCTGTACCCAGCATTATATAAAAAACTTTAGGGGCTGGATAGGTGGCTCAGCAGTTAAGAGCACTGACTGCTCTTTTAGTAGACCCGGGATTCACAGCCCCCATATGGTAAGTAGCTAAGAACTGTCTATAACTCCAACATCTGACACCCTTACAAGACATACATGCAGGCAAAACACCAATGTACTTAAAGAGAAAGAAAGAAAGAAAAGAAGAAAAGAAAGTGGCTAGAGAGATGGCTCATTGGTTAAGAGCACTGGCTGTGCTTCCAGAGGATCCAGGTTCAGCACTCCATGGCAGTTCACAACTGTCTGTACCTCCACTTACAGGGGATCTGACACCTTCACACCAATGCACATAAAGTTAAATAGCTACAAAAAAAAAAAAAATTTGAGGCTGGGTGTGGTGGCACCCATCCTTAGTCCCAGCACTCAGAAGGCAGGTGGATCTGAGTTTGAGGTCAGCCTGGTCTACAAAGTGAATTCCCTGACAGCCGGGGTCACACAAAGAAACCCTGTCTTGCAAAACAAAATACAAAAGAAACAAGTTTCTATAAGTCATTTCAAGTGACTTCTCATACTACGTAAGGCAGAGAAGTCATGCTCATCTTACAGTTCAGCAAAGAGGCTCCAGACAGCTGGGCCACTTTTCAGGGTTATATTGCCAACAATGGCAGATAAATCCAAACCCAAATGGACTCCTTTAGATGGTAAAATCTTTAAGGGCGAGAAGACCCATAATAGGTCAGGGTAGTGGTAATCATCTAGTCTCAGATACTCTGGAGGCTGAGGAAGAAAGAGCAAAGAATTACAGAACAGAACTGTTTTAGAACAGTTTTTGTTCTAAAACAAAAGCCAAAGCTAGGTGTGGTGGAATGCCTGTAATCCTAGCACCTGGGAGAAAGAGGCAGGAACAGGCGTTGAAGTTCATGAGACCCTCTCTCTACAAACAAACAGCAAAAAGCAGGCAAACAAAAAGGAGAAATACGCTATATTATTAAGTTATTTTTAAAACAATCTGAGAGACTGTCCTATCGTGTAGCCCTGGCTGGCCTAGGTCTTGATTTGTAGGCCAGGTTGGCCTCCAGCGCCGGAATTACAGGGGTTGAGTCAGAACGGTTTTCCAAAAGCTCCTAAGTTGCGGCTGCACGTCTGTACTATTGCTGTTAAGAAAAATAATAAGGTCGCACTGTGAATGAAAGGTCCCAGGTAGCTTTCATGCGTCGACGAGGCCCTTCGGCGGTGGGGGTGGGGTGGGGGAGAAGGTTGCGAGCCTGTTACTTACTGTGACCGATGTGACGCGGAACCAAAGTACTAGGGCTTCGGACTTGGCCGGACTGATTTTCCTGAGAGGCGGGGTCGCTGGTTTCTGTCGCGTTTCCAGTCAGCGCGCATGCGTCGCCTGTGCTTCGCCGCTCCCGCCTCAGGCTCCGGGTAGGGCTCCGGGATGTCCGCGTTGTGCGACCCTCCCGGGGCCCCAGGGCCACCCGGGCCTGCCCCCGCCACCCACGGTCCCGCGCCTCTCAGGTAGTCAGAGCCCCTGGTATTCCCCCCCCTCATCGCGCGACCCCGCGCCGATGCCCAGCCTTCTCCACAGAAAGCCGGATCCTACCTTGAGAACTCGCGTCAGGGTTCTCAGAGATTCTGGTCGCGTCCTCCCGGAACTCAGGGACCGCCTCACTAAAAACTCTGGGCTGCAGTGCCGGCCCTGCCTTGCCCTTCCCGAGACCTCGATGGCTTCTTATGCCGGCCTTGCTCTGCCAGCACTTGGGGATATCAAGACTCTTGAGAACCCAGCCTCTCTGCCCCTTTCGTACCAAGGCGACTCAGACTACATGGAGGGTGTCTTGGGAACCAAGTCTCGGAGCCTCAATATTTCTGCTCGCCTTTCCTTTGCACACGTCCCTCATTTTGAGGTGCCTTTTTGTTTCTGACCCAGAGGGATGGCTCAGAGCCCTATCAGCCCAGGGAATGCTGGTGTCTTTGACAGAAAAGACAGTAAGAGGAAAGGGGTTTGCTTCCTCCCTCAGCATATCTTTCTGAACCTCTAAGGCAGAGTTTATCTATGTGGGGAGGGAAGGGATTGAAAGGCTTGCTCATCTGTCCCCCGTGACACCCTCCCCCCCATTGTTGGCACCTTGAAGGTGGCTAATTGTTAGTCCGTGGTTAGGACTCTCTTCTTTCATTTTTTTGAGACAGGGTCTCTCCATGGAGAGATCTAGTTGTCCTGGAACTCATTATGTAGAACTAGGTTGGCCTTGAACTTACAGAGATCTGGGTTGGAATTAAAGGCCTGTACCACCAAGACTGGCCTAATTGTTGTACAATATGAGGAGGCACACAACTGGGAGGGAGAACTTTTAGTAAACTGTTTACAGTTTTCCAGCCATTAAGAAATTCCAGGGTGCTTGTGCTGTCCAGGTGGCTGGAAGATGTTAAAGCAGGTATAGGACTCCAGAATATATTAACTTAATTCATCAAATCTTCATTGAGTATCTTCCATATACCAGCACCTCGATAGAACAGAATTCTGTGGGCTTCTTCTTTTTCCTTGTTTCATTTATTTATTTATTTATTTATTTATTTATTTATTTATTTTCGAGGCAAGTCTCACTTTGTAGCTCTGGCTGTCCTGGAACTTACTATGTAGACCAGGCTGGCTTTGAAATTACTTAGATCCACCTGCCCCTGCCTCTCAAGTGCTAGGATTAAAGGCATTCGCTACTACTCTGGCAGGAATTCTGTGTTTTAAGAGCATAGAAGTGGTTCCTGCCCTTTTGGAGCATCCAGCCTGACTTCTTCTGCTTCTTTACCTGTAAAATGGGATCATGATAGTCTAACCATATTGTAACCATATTGGTAAAGTACTTAAGAGTGGGGCTGGGACTGTAGCTCTAGCCTGCAATGCCTAAAGTCCTGGGTTTGATATCTAGCACTGAAAAAGAAAAAAAGATACCTGGATATTTGAAGTATAACATGCTATTGATATGATTGTTGTTGCTGAAAGAAAAATAGCATTTATAGAATCACTAAGTTGAACCAGGAGTGGTTATGTTTCTGAACCTTTATAAATTCTTATGAGGGACATTTTGCCCTATTGTACATAAGGCAAACCAAAGCTCTTGTTAGAAATGTGACTTTCCTAACATCTCCCAATGTTCTGAATCAATTCCTTTGCTTCTTTATAGTGCCCAGGAGCTGTCCCAAGAAATCAAGGCTTTTCTGACGGGTGTAGACCCCATTCTGGGCCACCAGCTCTCAGCTCGTGAACATGCTCGATGTGGTCTTCTCCTGCTGCGTTCTTTGCCACCTGCTCGGGCTGCTGTACTGGACCACTTGAGAGGTGTTTTTGATGAGAGTGTCCGGGCCCACCTAGCTGCCCTAGAGGAAAGTCCTGTGGCTGGTCCACCTCACCTCCGTCCACCTCCACCCTCCCATGTCCCTGCTGGTGGACCTGGCTTAGAGGATGTGGTACATGAAGTACAACAGGTGCTGTGTGAGTTTATCCGGGCCAACCCAAAGGCCTGGGCGCCTGTGATTAGTGCATGGTCCATTGACCTGATGGGACAACTGAGTAGTACATATTCGGGTCAGCACCAGCGTGTTCCCCATGCCACTGGCTCTCTGAATGAGCTGTTGCAGCTGTGGATGGGCTGTAGGGCCACCCGCACGTTAATGGACATCTATGTGCAGTGCCTCTCAGCTCTCATTGGCAGCTGCCCAGATGCGTGTGTGGATGCCTTGCTGGACACTTCCGTCCAGCATTCTCCACACTTTGACTGGGTTGTGGCCCATATTGGCTCTTCTTTTCCTGGCACCATCATCTCCCGAGTCCTCTCCTGTGGCCTTAAGGACTTCTGTGTCCATAGTGGGGCTGGAGGAGGAGCTGGTGCTTGTGGTGGAAGCTCTTCTCAAACCCCGTCTACAGACCTCTTCCCTGGATCTCCTGTCATCCCTGGGGAAAAACGGGTGCCTAAGATTGCCTCAGTTGTAGGCATCCTAGGGCATCTGGCCTCTCGCCATGGAGACAGCATCCGACGGGAACTCCTGCGCATGTTTCATGATAGCTTGGCAGTGGGCACTGGGAGCCGCAATGGGGAACCCTCCCTTCAGGCCACAGTTCCTTTCCTACTGCAGCTGGCAGTCATGTCGCCAGCTTTGCTAGGCACCGTATCTGGAGAACTTGTAGACTGCCTCAAGCCCCCAGCTGTGCTAAGCCAGCTGCAGCAACACCTGCAGGGATTCCCCAGAGAGGAGCTGGACAACATGCTAAACCTGGCTGTGCATCTGGTGAGCCAGGCCTCTGGGGCTGGTGCCTACCGCCTGCTGCAGTTCTTAGTGGATACAGCTATGCCTGCTTCAGTCATTACCACCCAGGGCCTGGCTGTGCCAGATACGGTAAGAGAGGCCTGTGACCGGCTAATCCAGCTGCTATTGCTACATCTACAAAAACTGGTTCATCATCGGGGAGGGTCTCCTGGAGAAGGACTGCTGGGCCCGCCCCCACCTCCTCGTCCAGTGCCCTTTCTTGATGCATTAAGAAACCATGTTGGAGAGCTGTGTGGAGAGACATTACGGTTGGAACGGAAGCGCTTCCTCTGGCAGCACCAGCTCCTGGGCTTACTGTCTGTCTATACTCGACCTAGCTGTGGACCTGAGGCATTAGGCCATCTACTGAGCAGAGCTCGAAGCCCTGAAGAGTTGAGTTTGGCAACCCAGCTATACGCAGGGCTAGTGGTTAGTCTCTCTGGCCTTCTTCCCCTGGCCTTCCGAAGCTGCCTGGCTCGAGTGCATGCAGGGACTTTGCAGCCTCCCTTCACAGCCCGCTTTCTTCGCAATTTGGCCTTGCTAGTGGGGTGGGAACAGCAGGGTGGTGAGGGCCCTTCAGTCTTAGGGGCCAGGTTTGGGGAATCGGCCTCAGCCCATTTGTCTGATCTGGCTCCTCTTCTGCTACATCCAGAGGAGGAAGTAGCTGAAGCTGCTGCCTCTCTCCTGGCAATATGTCCTTTTCCTTCAGAATCCCTGTCACCTTCCCAACTTTTGGGATTAGTGAGAGCTGGGGTACACCGCTTCTTTGCTTCTCTAAGGCTGCATGGCCCTCCTGGTGTAGCCTCAGCCTCCCAGCTTCTTACCCGCCTTTCTCAGACTTCCCCAGCTGGGCTCAAGGCTGTCCTGCAGCTGCTAGTTGAGGGAGCCTTACATCGAGGCAACACAGAACTGTTTGGAGGGGAGATGGATGGGGACAATGAGACTCTCTCAGCTGTCTCAACCCCTTTGGCTTCTGCCTCTTTGTTGGACATTAACCGGAGGCATACTGCAGCTGTGCCAGGTCCTGGGGGTATCTGGTCAGTTTTCCATGCTGGAGTCATCGGCCGTGGCTTAAAACCACCTAAGCTTGTTCAATCTCGAAACCTTCAGGAAGTGATCTATAACACCCAGAGCCTCCTTAGCCTTCTAGTGCACTGCTGCAGTGCACCTGGGGGCAGTGAGTGTGAGGGTTGCTGGAGGCCTCCCACCCTGAGCCCAGAGGCAGCCAAAGCAGTTGCAGTGACCTTAGTGGAGAGCGTGTGTCCTGATGCAGCTGGTGCTGAGCTGGCCTGGCCCCCAGAGGATCATGCAAGGGCCACTGTGGAGCGGGATCTCCGCATTGGTCGACGCTTCCGGGAACAACCCCTTCTGTTTGAGCTTTTGAAGCTGGTAGCAGCTGCTCCCCCAGCACTGTGCTACTGCTCCGTGCTGCTGCGGGGTCTGCTGGCTGCCCTCTTGAGCCATTGGGAAGCCTCTCGACACCCTGATACAGCTCACTCCCCCTGGCACCTGGAGGCATCCTGCACCCTGGTGGCTGTCATGGCTGAGGGAAGCCTCTTGCCACCAGCCTTGGGTAATATGCACGAGGTATTTAGCCAACTGGCACCTTTTGAAGTGCGTCTGTTGCTGCTCAGTGTCTGGGGTTTTCTCCGGGAGCATGGGCCATTGCCCCAGAAGTTCATCTTCCAGTCTGAGCGTGGTCGCTTCATCCGGGACTTTTCTAGGGAGGGTGGAGGTGAAGGAGGATCCCATTTGGCTGTGCTGCACAGTGTCCTCCATCGCAACATCGATCGCCTGGGGCTCTTCTCTGGCCGTTTTCAGGCACCTTCACCGTCCACTCTGCTTCGTCAGGGGACTTGACCTTTTTTCTGCTTCAGAAATCGAGGGAGGTTGAACAGTGAAAGAAGAGACTAAGGTGCTACAGAAGGGTGAAGGCTTCTAAGTCCGTACATAATGAGCGGTGTCACTTTTTTCAAACCCCACCATTTTTTCTAAATAAAATTTGCCGAGTTGAGACAAACAGTACAGTGTTTCTATCTGACTCGGAAAGCACAGAACGCAGAGGCGGGGACATCAAGCCACGCCCCATCCATAATTTAGAACGCGCTGGGCCAATGGCATGGACGTCCGGCCGCGCT